GGCTGGAACCCGGAAGGGGCGGAGCCGCATGCGCTGGCCCAGGTGGGCAAGGATGAGGTTGATGGAGGCAGAGGTGGGCGGAGGGGATTTTGGCCGATTCAGGGCAGAATAAGACGTGGGAAGCATGCTAGCCGGGTTAGAGCTGCCAGCCCCCCCCACCCCCCGCGGAGCTGGGTCGGGAAAGGTGGCAGACGCCCCACCCAGTCTCACGAACCACGCTCCTCCTACAGGGACAACCTGTACCGGGTGGAGCTGGAGCCCCCCACGTCCACGGAGCTGCGCTACCAGCGGGTGAGGAGGAGGCACAAGCGGGAGGGGAGGGCGTCCGACACTACGGCCCTGCCCGTGGGGTCCTAGGGTAATCGGGGACCCTGCACCCCTTTACCGGCCCCTCTGCCCTCAGAAACTGACGTGGCGCTCCAACCCCAGTGACATCAACGTGTGCCGAATGAAGGGCAAGGCGGAGGTGAGTGGCCAGCCAATCCCAGGCCTCCTGCACCCCGCCTCTAGTCCTGGCCAGGGCCTCCTCGTCGCCGTGGCTACCTGGCCGTGCCCCAAATGGTGGCCTTGCTGTAGCTGTCCGGCTGATAGAAAACGTTTCCAGTCTTGTCTCTGCCCTGATCCAGCCAAGTCTTATTAGTAGCCAGGGGCATGACCACGCCCCCATCGTGCCCCTCACCCACACCCCTGATCACTTCCCAGAACAGCCCAGTTCTGCTCTGGCACCGCCCTCGGCTCTGGTCACTCGGAATCACAGTCCGGGCCACGCCCACACGGGTCCCCTCCCTGCCCCTCCCACCCCAGGGCGAATGTCGAAACTTCGTCAAGGTGCTGCTACTGCGTGACGAATCCACGCTCTTCATGTGCGGGTCCAACGCCTTCAACCCCGTGTGCGCCAACTACAGCGTGAGTGTCCGCCCTTAGAAGCCCAGGCCCCCCCAGGTCTAGCCCCCAGCCCCTGTCACCTCCTACGGAGGCCTTCTGGGACTCCCCTGCCTATGTCCCTCACCCAGAGCCATAATCGGGTTAGCAGGGCAGGGGGCAGTTATTGGATTGACCCAAGAGGTCACCACAGTCCCAGGGGTAGCCTCAGCTGTACGGGGCCCTGACAGCGATGAATCGAATTCTCCAGAAGAGACAGCAAAGGAAGCCCTTTAGGGCCATTCTACTGTCATAGGAGGGGAGCCATGGGTTCAGGCCCATTTTACAGATGAGGAAACTGAGGCCCTGGGAGGTTGAAACTAAGCTTCCACAGCAGCCACTGGTAGGGCCAGGACTTCCCCTGGAGTCCGGGGAGTTAGGGCTGCTGGGCCTGGTCGAGAGATTGTCACTCAGACCTGGCCCCCTCTGCAGATCGACACGCTACAGCCCCTTGGGGACAACATCAGCGGCATGGCCCGCTGCCCGTATGACCCCAAACATGCCAACATTGCCCTCTTCTCTGGTGAGTGTCCCCCCCAGCCCTGACCACCCAGTGGGGCCCCAGGCCTGGCAGTTTCCACTCCTGGAGGGGGTCATTTAGAGGGTGGCTGGGCGCCCGTCTGGCCAGCTGTGAAATGGCAGAATCTGAGCCTAGGGTGAAGGTCCAGTCAAGGTGGGCCTCAGCCGGGGATCAGGGATCAGTCTGGGGCCAGGGCTCAGCCCCTGGTCAGGACTCTGCCTGGAGCCAGAGGCTCCACCTGGGGTCACAGCTTAGCCTGGGGACAAAGGGTCGGGCCCAGGGTCAGGTCTCAGCTCAGGGTCAGGGCTCAACCTGGGGTTAGGGTTCAGCCCAGAGTCAGGGCTCAGGGCTCAGCTTGGGGCTGATGCCAGCGCTCAGCCTGGGTAGCTCCCACCCGAGCCTCCAGCCCTGGGCCTCTCTCTTTCTCTCCAGATGGGATGCTCTTTACAGCCACGGTCACCGACTTCCTCGCCATTGACGCCGTCATCTACCGCAGCCTCGGGGACCGGCCCACCCTGCGCACCGTGAAACACGACTCCAAGTGGCTCAGAGGTGGGCAGTGAGGCTGACACTTGTCAACCCCCCCCCCCCCCACCAGAATGGGTGAGGTTGAGCCCCGGGGGTGGGACCTTGTGGGGTGCTCAAAGTCAGGTGTGTTTGGGGGCTGGAGCCTCTCTAAGGTGTCCCGGTGGGTCAAAAGTCTCAGGGTGCTTGTGGACACCCCAGGACCTGCAGAGGGGCACAGTGTGGTCAGCCATCAACTCTGAACAAACCTGGGGGGAATGCCGAGGGTGGCCAGGGAGGGCTTCTCGGAGGAGGTGACAGCGGACACCTGAAAAAGGAGCTAGCAGTCACGTGGGAGGACACTGTAGGCAGCGGGCGCAGCCTATGCAATGGTCCTGGGGCAGGGGCCGGGCAGGCAAGGGGGAGGAACAGTGTGAAAGGCCTGGGGCTGACACGGAGTGATCCAGAGAAAGGAGGGCGCAGGGTGCGCAGGGCTCTGGGGACCGCGGGGAGGACCCTGGCTTTGACCTGAGGGCCGTGGGCAGAGGAGGGCC